GCTCACTGCAACCTCCGCCTCCCAGGTTCAAGCAATTCTCCTGCCTCAGCCTCCTGACTAGCTGGGATTACAGGTGCCTGCCACCATGCTCGGCTAATTTTTGTATTTTTAGTAGAGACGGGGTTTCACCATGTTGGCCAGGCTGAACTTGAACTCCTCACTTCAAATGATTCACCTACCTCGGCCTCCCAAAGTACTGGAATTATAGGCATGAGCCACTGTGCCCGGCTGGAGTTGAGTTTCTTTAAGCTTTTCTGATGAGATCTTTTCAAACCCACATCCAGGCCTCTCCACTGAATTTCTAGGGTGTTTACCTAAGATTTAGCTGCATATTGTCACTTAAAGACTGATTCCTAATGGCTGCCAGAAATTTAACACCTACTCGGGTGCTACAATTGCCACATTGACCATAGGTTTCTTCTTTCTTCTCTGACTAGGGAATAGGTGTTTCTCTCATATTCTCCTTGTCATTCTAATTCTCTCCTGTTTCTCTCTTCTCCTTATGTTAAGTATTATGCAGAAATGTAATCTATTATACTAGAGAAGGAAACAGTATCATGGTTGTTTTGCAGAAATACAATATGTAAAGTTAGTATATTTAGAATAAAGCATGCTAATCAGTGAAGTATTATAAGGGGTCTGATAAACAAACAGAAAACTTGGAAGAGTTGCACAGAAAAGGAAGGTGAGCCAAGAGCACACTGGGCATGTGGTTATGGTTTGAAAGAAGTTGAACTGCACATTTGGAGTATGACCCCCTTCCCTTGATGACATTATGACTAGTGAATCTGGTTTTCCCGTAGGTTTTAACTCTTCTAAATGGCTTAGCTTCCTACATTACTATACAAAGAGGCTTTTCTTTTTCTTTTTAGGTATTTCTTAGAACTTTATTCTGAAATTAGATTGTCTAGATCAGAGAATGTAATTGATTGTGGCTTTGAATTTTGCTTGTGGATGAAATCTACATATAAAAGATATTTTACTGCAGTGCTTTAAGATTGATACAGAGAAATGGTATTATGTTCTATTCCCAGATTATTTTTGAGTACCATTTATCAGAGATGAAATATTCTGTCTGATTTAGTTGAAGTATGTCATAGCTATTACATTTATTCTTGTTCTCTGCATAGTTTTATGCAGGAGCATGAAAATAAGTACCAGAGTAAACATTACACTGTTTCACACAGTGTGTTTCCTGTATATGTAGTTTCTAGTCGACTATTGACACAGATTTTTCTACCTCAGATACCTACACGCATAATAAATGTTACAAGTGGGGTTGTTGTTTTTTTTCTCATTACTATGGATGTTACAGAGTTATGGAAGAGTAATCAAAGAATATTTGTCCTAGAAAGTTTGGCCGACTTTCATGGAAATAGTAAAATGTTAGAACTAAACTGTTTGTCCAGTAGATGGCACTCTTAGTTCTTGGACCCCAAAGTTCGTAAATTGATGACTGTTCCTATTCACTGGTTACAGATCATAACAGAATCCACGCCACTGATGTTTTACATGCTGTTTGGTATCTTACTACACAGCCTATTCCAGGCCTTTCAACTGTGATTAGTGATCATGGTTCAACCAGTGATTCAGGTATGTACAAAGTGAATCTGCACTGCCTTATGTGAGAGGTGGGAACAAGGGTGTTTTTTTCAAAAAAAAAGAAAGTCAAGACAAATGATGTCAGTTTAATACTTTTAAAAAAATTTCTTTGACTCTCGTTTTCTCTTCTCAGATTCTGACAGTGGATTTACACATGGACATATGGGATATGTATTCTCAAAGACGTATAATGTGACAGATGATAAATACGGATGTCTGTCTGGGAATATCCCTGCCTTAGAGTTGATGGCGCTGTATGTGGCTGCAGCCATGCACGATTATGATCACCCAGGAAGGACTAATGCTTTCCTGGTTGCAACTAGTGCTCCTCAGGTAAATCGGTAAATCTTTAGATTTTGGTTAGGAGAACTAATTTAAAGATTTCTCAAGAAAGTGAAGTTGAGTGTGATTTATAATAGGCCGCAAGTTAATATAAGCCAAACTATATATAGTCTCATGTTAAAATTCTCAGAGACCATGCTGATTCTGAAAAGAAACCATGGATTCTTCCAAGATTCTAATAGCAGGTATGCAACTTTATTATCCGTGGGAATCATTTCTCAGTGTTCTTCCTAGGAAGAAAACCTACTTGAATTCATGTTAATGGACCTCTTCAACAAACAAAAGGCAACCTATACAAAAGCCCCTTTCTGAAAAGATTAGAGAACCAAGTATTTCTTGGACTTTTAAGAATGTAAGGTTTCTTTGTATATAAATACCATTCCTTTGAAATACATTCATTATAACAATTATGATTCTTATGACATATCTATAGGTTGGTAGGATTTTGGCATCAATTTATTTCATTGGAGGAATTTTTTTTTTTTTTTTTTTTTTTTGCCTAAACATAGATTCCAAAAATAGTGAATAAATTTAAAGTTCATCTTGGTGTGTAATTCTATCTAAGTAAAAAATTCATCACTGAGTATCTAGACATACCCATTTATACAATCAAATTTAGCCCCTAATGTATTTAATTAGCTGAACCCAAGTTACTAAACATTCTGAGATCCTCTGTTCTTCTACAAGATCTAGAGGCCAGTTTCATTCGATATTGACTTTTCTGTTTTCTTCTTTGCCTCTTATGTTCTATTCCACTGCTTTCCATTTCCGTAGCTGATCTTATGGACTGTTCTATAGTTTTTCTTGAATCTATATACAATAAAAATTATCTGGTAATTTTTTTCTTGACTGTCTACCTTCTTTCCACTTGTCTTTCATACACCAAAATTATTTTTTCTAAATATAGGCAAAAATCCACTGGCCAGGATAATTTGCCGTTCAGATTTTTTTACACATCTACATTTTTATATACCTCTATATTAATATTCAGTGCTTAGTGTTTTCTTTGTGTCCTGTCTTTTTATTTCTCCATAGGCTATCTTGCACACTAGTGTTCAGGCATTTTGTAGGCAGCTTCCCTTTTAAAAAAATTCTCTAATAAAACTTCTCTCTGCATTATTAGAGAATTTCAAACAAGTAAATGTCATTTTATGTCTTCAAATACTAGATAAAAGGTGATATTTCCTGTGGAGTGGAGTGAAAATGTTTTAAATCATGAGCATTTGGGGGATTCCGTTCATCTTTAACAGCTATATGTGTTTAAGAGGAGGTAATGCTTATGCCAAATATAGAAAGTAACCTAGTTACCTCTTGAGGTATTGTAGCATTGGTATAATTACATATTTTATATATGTGTATATATATATTTACATATATATGTAAACGTAATTTTTTTCTTCCTCCCTCCTCTTTCTTTTCTATTTGTATATATTTTTTACGTTTAAATTCCTGTACCCTACAAAGAAATCTAAAGAAAAAATCTTTTAAAAAAATCTATTAAGATAGGCTAGTGTCCCCTCACAAGAGTTTGAACTAAGTTTTCAAGGAAATGAATTTATTTTATAAAAAAGGTAAATTTAATCAAGAAAAATAATACCTATTGTACAGTAATAAGTGATTCTTAATAAGCAGGAGTCATATGATTACATTTCTTTGTTGTATGAATAAAAAGCAATTTCAGAAGCATTGCATATGCTCATGATTTTTATGATTTTTTTTCTTAAAAAGTTAAACTCTTAACTCTCTTATTTTCGTAGGCGGTGCTATATAACGATCGTTCAGTTTTGGAGAATCATCACGCAGCTGCTGCATGGAATCTTTTCATGTCCCGGCCAGAGTATAACTTCTTAGTTAACCTTGACCATGTGGAATTTAAGCATTTCCGTTTCCTTGTCATTGAAGCAATTTTGGCCACTGACCTGAAGAAACACTTTGACTTCGTAGCCAAATTTAATGGCAAGGTAAATAGAGCTGGACCAGTCTTCACCTTTTTTTTTTTTTTTTTTTTTTTTTTGAGACAGAGTCTTGCTCTGTTGCCCAGGCTGGAGTGCAGTGGCACGATCTTGGCTCACTGCAACCTCTGCCTCCTGAGTTCAAGCAATTCTCCTGCCTCAGACTGCCAAGTAGCTGGGACTACAGGCTCATGCCACCACACCTGGTTAATTTTTGTATTTTTTTTTTTCAGTGGAGATGGAGTTCCACCATGTTGGCCAGGCTGGTCTCAAACTCCTGACCTCGTGATCTGCCTGCCTCGGCCTCCCAAAGTGCTGGGATTACAGGTGTGAGGCACCGTGCCTGGCTACACCAGTCTTCATTTTATAGACACATTGAAAGATATCATGGAAGTAAACTGTTGAACAAAACATGTTACTATCAATTCTCATATGTCAAACGTGAAAATGGAATACAATAAAATGTTTAACCAGAAGCAGACATATAGGTGTTGATCTGAATCTAGATGCCCAAGAAGCTGAGATGCTTCGTCTATGGATTATGCTTTGTACCACAGAGAAATAACACATTCTGTCATTGTGGTTTTTGATTGATTTAATTTGTTCTCATCTCTATGGTATATTTATATAAATTATCTGGCAGCAGTACAGATCAAAATCTTGAAGCACAATTTTATACCTCAAGAGTAAATGCCCAAATATTAAGTTATGACAATTTTTTATGAACTGTAACTATATTATTTTAATAGTCATTGATAATAAGGCCAAGCGCAATGGCTCACGCCTGTCATCTCAACACTTTGGGAGGCCAAGGTGGGTGGATCACTTGAGGCCAGGAGTTCGAGACCAGTCTGGCTAATATGGCGAAACACCATCCCTACTGAAAGTACAAAATTGGCCAGGTGTGGTGGCGCACACCTGTAGTCCTACCTACTTGGGGGGCTGAGGCAGGAAGATTGCTTGAACCCGGGAGGTGGAGGTTGCAGTGAGCCAAGACTGCACCACAACACTCCAGCCTGAGAGACAGAGCAAGACTCTGTCTCAAAAAAAGAAAAGAAAAGTAATTGATTATATATGCCAGTTTTAAAAAGCATTTGTTGCTAATTCAATAATTAATTTTTTTAATTTTCATTTTTGTAGGTACATAGTAGGTGTATATATTTATGGGTTACATTAATAAATTCATATAATGTGTAATAATCACAACAGAGTAAATGGGGTATCTGTCACCTCAAATATTTATCCATTGTGTTACAAACAATCCAGTTATACTCTTTTAGTTATTTTAAAATGTATAATTAAATTATTTTTGACTACACTCACCCTATCACCCATTATTATTATTTTATCCATAATTCATTATTTTACTTTTTCATGAACTTTTTTTACCATTAATTTACACAGGCCAATAACATTTTTAAGTAGCTACAGGTTCCCAATTATTTGGTATTATGATCCCTGTATAATATGAAGACAATAAATGTTCTATTGTTTTCTGTTCAACTTTTGTTTTTATCAAAGCAAAACATATTTTAACTTTGTCTCTCAAATAGGTAAATGATGATGTTGGAATAGATTGGACCAATGAAAATGATCGTCTACTGGTTTGTCAAATGTGTATAAAGTTGGCTGATATCAATGGTCCAGCTAAATGTAAAGAACTCCATCTTCAGTGGACAGATGGTATTGTCAATGAATTTTATGAACAGGTAACTGACAACTGTTTAATATAGCTTAATCTATACTTACAGGTTGCTCATGAATTGCTGAAAGCTTCTAACAGCTATGAAAGTGTGATCATTCTATTTTATATTCATATTTTTATCAGAAATTGCACTGGTCAATTTTGATCAGGAGATAAAAAGTGACATGTAAAAATTGGACTAAAATATAATCGTAGAACTCTATGATAAAGTTACTTGCAAGCATTTGCAGGGGAAGAAGATACTGAGATAGTGGAAGTCAGACGTTAGGAAGATCCTGGAAATACTGCTCTTTATAGATATATTTATTATCATAGAAGGTAGTTTAAATGTATATGGAGTAGCTTATATGTTTATGGTAGTTTAAATGTATATGCATATCACATTAATTTCACTTGCTTTCCTAAAAAAGTATTTATTATCATCGAAGGTAGTTTAAACATATATGGAATAGTTTATATGTATATGTATATGGTAGTTCAAATGTATCTGCATATTAGATTAACTTCACTTTTGTAAAAAAATTATGAACAGCATTATATGAAAAAGCTAAAAAGAAATAGGCTTTTCATTTGACATGATAATGTGAGAGTTAACAGACTACTCAAAAAGCTACCACAATTACATAAGCCGGAGTTGATCCTTCTGACATTAGCCTACACCAATCAGAATGCACTTGAACCTTCCTGTTCGGTACTGTGAACCACTCTTAAAAATAATGTGGAGGTGAAGGAGCATGCATAAAGAACAGGAATAAGTGACAGAAAAGCACGTGAAAAAAATGAAGATATTTACTCTTGGGGAAATATAACTGTGTTCAGATATTTAAAGGAGTGACATACTAATTTAGAAATAGGTTAATCATAACATTGCTGTGGAGATTAAAGAAGATAAATTATGTAACATACTTAGCACAGGATCTGATTCATAAAAAAAGTTAGATCCCTCTCTACTGCCCTAAAAAAGGTATGAATATACCAGTCTACAGAAGTTATTGGGAGGTAGAGTTCAGGTCAATGTCAGAAGGAAATTTATATTGCTAAAGCTGTCCAAAATTAGGCTGAGACGCCTTATTAATGATAATAAATTGACTGTCATTGGACATATTTAAACAGATTAGAATGAAATTTTATGGTTACTATAGGTAGGATTCATATATAGAATGAAAGGTTTGTGTTTTTTAAAAATAATGTATTGCCCTTCCTAAGAATGGGATTAATTCATAATCATTCCTGAAATATGGAAATGCAGAAAAATGTAAATTAAAGGGAAAATTCATGTATAATAATACCACTTCTTAGGCGTAATTGTTGCTGATATTTTGGGATGTTTTTAATTTTGCTAGATAACTGCTGGTTAAAAATCTCCCTGTTTTCCTCAGAAACATTTGAAGCACTTCAAAGTAAAACATTTGTACGGTAATATTATTAAACATATGGATAAATAAGAATATCAGAAACCACACAATCACAGGAAGTACATTAAAAATTCAAACAAAATCTGGGATAAGGTAACCCCTTGAATTGAGCAATAAATTCTTTAAAGCTTTCTGGAAGCCACAACAAAAAAGGAAAATAGTCTACATTTACATATTTTTAAAGAATTCTTCTCACTATTGCATTTTTTGTTTTGTTTTGTTTTGAGACAGTCTCACTCTGTCACTCTGTAGTGCAATGGTGTAGTCTCAGCTCACTGCAACCTCCACCTCCTGGGTTCAAGTGATTCTCCTGCCTAAGCCTCCCGAGTAGCTGGGATTACAGGCGCCTGCCACTACGTCCCGCTAATTTTTTGTATTTTTAATAGAGATGGGGTTTCACCATGTTGGTCAGGCTGGTCTCAAACTCCTGACCTTGTGATTTTCCCACCTCGGCCTCCCAAAGTGCTGGGATTACAGGCGTGAGCCACCGCGCCCAGCCTCACCATTGCATTTTAATGCATTTATATTTTCATATAAACGTGAGACACTGACTTGTGTGATAAAAATATCATCTACTTATACATTAGAATTTAGACTTTCTGTATTTCTCCTTGATAAAAATCAAAAACCTCAAGATCACAAAAGTACTAATTAGCAACAGTGTTTCTATAGGAATCTTAGCAATTGAGGTAGGATCCTTTAGGAGTCAAGTAAAGAAATTTGTGCATTAATGCCTGGGGTTTTGCATATTTACAAATATCAGACGCCAGGTGAATGTTGACTTCGCTTGCATTTTATTTCTAGGGCGATGAAGAGGCCAGCCTTGGGTTACCCATAAGCCCCTTCATGGATCGTTCTGCTCCTCAGTTGGCCAACCTTCAGGAATCCTTCATCTCTCACATTGTGGGGCCTCTGTGCAACTCCTATGATTCAGCAGGACTAATGCCAGGAAAATGGGTGGAAGACAGCGATGAGTCAGGAGATACCGATGACCCAGAAGAAGAGGAGGAAGAAGCAGCAGCACCAAATGAAGAGGAAACCTGTGAAAATAATGAATCTCCAAGTAAGTTCTAAAACCTAGTTCTAATGTGTTTTCTCTGGGATTGCTTTCTTACTTTAGATGCATGTTATGCTTCTCATGAAATACAATACTCCAGGTCTACACATCATTTGCCGAGTTTGATTACAGGTAGCTCCCTTCGCCAATATCATAATAATAGAAATTCCAGACTACAGAATCTATAATAACACATATGGTAGAAAGAAGCTGATACAAAGATTATCTTTCCTCCATCATGAAGTTAAAAAAAAAAAAAAAAAAAAAAGGATTTGAAGCCTATCTTCAGGGTAACGCTTTTTTGGGGTTTTTTCTTCGGTTTTTTTTTTTTTTGAGATGGAGTCTCACTCTGTCGGCCCAGGCCTGGAGTGCAGTGAGCGCCATCTCGGCTCAACTGCAAAGCTCCACTCCCAGGTTCAACGCCATTGCTCCTGCCTCACCTCCAAGTGCTCATAAGCGTGTGACTACACCGGCTATTTTTTTTTTTTTTTGTATCTCTTACAGAGACGGAGGTTTCACCACATTAGCCCACATGGTCTCCAAATCTCCTGACCTTGTGGCATCCACAGCCTGACTCCCAAAAGTGCTGGGATTACAATGTGAGCCACCCGCAGCCGGCCACTTCACGTTATTCCCTTACGTGATTTAACAAGGCTGAACAGCAGTTTCAGCGTACCATGAAGCACCCAATCACTAGGTTTTTAATCTGCCGCTTGGTCTACGGGGCAACCTCCATCGTGAACGAGCATACGGTGGTAGTTAATCCTCATTTGTTCATACTCAACAGACCATTTATTTTGAGCACCACTGCCTCTGTGTCCAGTCCATCCTTCTAAGGCACTAGAGATAGAGCATGTGGGGAAAAAAGACAAAAAAAAAATAAAAAAAAAAAATCCTTGCCCTTATAGAAATACATTCTAGTGGGATCAGTAGACAATAAGCAAAACAAGTGAGTATATCTATAGTGTGTTAGATACAGTATTATTTACTGTAGTGATAAATACTGAGAAATATGAGAGTAAAAATAAAAGGAGGGAGATATAAAATATTATAGAGATAGGTTAAAATTTTAGGTAAGATAACCAGTGATAGGAAAGATGTAAACAAGGGAAAGATTTGTAAAAATAAAAAGACCTGCAAGAGGTAAGGGAGTGCTCCCTGGGGCTGTATGTGGAAAGAGGATTCCAAAGAGAGAAGAAAGCAACCTGTGCCAACGTCCAGAGGTGCACATTGGGTGGGGTGTTCAGGGAGCAGCAGGAGAACTGGGATAGCCGGAGCAGCAGGACGGAGGCAGTCGGGAACCAAGCTGTCCAAGGGAGAGAATACAGTCATGGGTTCTTAGTTTCTGTTTCTGGTTGGGCCAGTAAAGCCCCTTCCTCATCCCTCTGTTCTGCTTATCACTAGAGACAGAAACTAAAAACCATGGTTTCAGGTGCTGAAAGCCTAAAACAAAACAACACAGAAGAACAGCAACAACAAATAAGTCAGCCTGGACAAGCTTGGAAGATAGGACTCTATAGGTCACGGTAAGAGTTGTGGCTTTTACTCTGAGTAAGATGGGAAATCGTCAGTGGTTTTGAACAGAAGCGTTAGTAGACTCAACTTACCTTTTAACTGGACTGCTTCAGCTGCTCTATTGAGAATATGCTTGGGATTGGGAAGGGAGCAAGGATAGACATAGGGGGATCAGTTAGGAGACCGCTGAAATTATCCAAGTGAGAGATGACTGTGACTTTGGACCAGGGCAGTAGCAACAGTGACAATGACAACCTGTCACATCTGGTAATTGGCTGGAGTGCATCATGTGGCCAATCTAACCTATTTAGCTTAATCGACGATAAAATCATTTTTATTTATGCCTCTAAAGCTACTCTCCTATTTATCCTGTCATGAAACAAACAGTGACTAATAGCATAATTAGTAAAAATCCATGACCCTTACAATGACATTACACAAATACTGTTCCTGTGTTTGTAAGAACATAGTATGTGATTTCTGTTTACCTTTACAGATAAAGTACAATCTTAATATTCTTAAAGTTCTTACTAAAAATACAGCCAATGAAAGACATTCTGATCATTTTGTACCTATTTTTATCACAGTCAGGATAATGCACAACTTGGTTCATTCCAACCATCTTGTAAGCAGATTAACCTTATACTGATCCATTTTGCTCTCATATAAAGCACCTTGTTGTAGGCACACATAAGCAAACATAAAGAAGTCATTATCAATTATGAACTTATGAGGTAGAATTTTGCAAATTGAGCTTTAGGTCAGATCTGGCCTGTTAATTATTTTTTGTAGAATGGGGGAAAATAAAAGTTGTTTTTCTTCAATATGCTACTGTCAGAGTAATTATATTTTATTTATCTGATGCAAATAAAAAGACTTCCATTAGAAAGTTTGTACTGATCTTGGGATTCAGAGCTAGAAGCCGAGACTTGGATTTCATGGATTATTCATTCATTTTTTTCACTCAATAAACATGTATTAGTTTTCTCTTTTCATTTGTTTTCATTTCGAAGAGCCAGGTAGTTTGCTGTCTTACTAAGAATAAGACAGTTTTTCCACTGAATGAAGGTATTGTCGACTTAGCCTCTGGAAAAGCTTTGTTCCCAGGGGCCCTGACTTACTGCTATTTGAACTCAAACACATGGAAAATACGGACACATAGAAAATACGGACACATAGATCCAGGCATTGGGAATTGAAGGACCCAGGCCAGAAGATTTAACAGGCTCAACTTGTCAACCTAGCCTTTAGCAGCAAATGCTACAACCACATATTGCATTTCTTTCTGTTCTGAAGGGTTGGGTTGTCATGCCTTCCCATTTTTATCAAGTTCACTAAAGCAGGAATGAGAGTTTTTGGGGTTCTGTTTGCTCGTGCCTTCCAAAAGTTAACTGACCACATTATATTACAATTTAAAAATATCCCATCCACAATGATTTGATATGTAGCTTTGGAAATAATATCTTTAAAGTATTTCTTTTCAACCAAGAAAATGGTAAATATGGAGCAACATTAGTATTTACTAAATATTGGCCACGTAGAGTAACGAAACTTTAGAAATGAAGGGGGAATCGATGCTTATCAGTTTAGCTGCCTCACTTTACAAAAGATTAAACTAAGGCTCAGAAATTTAAATAACATCGCAAGGTTGTAGAACCAGAAAGGGAACCTAGGTTTCTTAATTTTTGACTTCAATGCTTTTGGCTCTTAGTAATTTTAATTTCAGAATTCATGTTGGCTAAAATGGTTACCTTGACTTTGCCTAATACTTAGGTTTCAGAAAAAAATAAATATGCACAGATATGTTCTGTAGTTTGTAAAACTTGGAGATGTCCCAGGAAACACAGAATAAAATGATTCAATATGGTATCCTAGGAAAAGAAGGTTTTTATCCCACCTTATAATTAAATCTGAAAGATTCCTACAGCGAACTAAGAGGTTTCTAATGAAGTACTAAGCTGCATTTAGAATTTGAGTAATGAAAGGCTCTTTGTTCTCCTTTCAAAAGGTTCCAGTACTGAACAATTTGGCTCCCAATACAGGCATGTTTTAGACCACCTGCGGACTCTAATCTATGCAAATTTATTTGGTACAAACTTTCTTCTACGTCACCTTCTTATTCAGTATAATTCCAGAGAGGTTTATTGCTAACATTTAACAGTATTAATAAGAGGACGGCTACTCTCAGGGGGACTGCCCTGGAAGGGAATAAGAGGAAAATTGAGCTTTTGTTAGCTTCTTCCCTATGAATGCACTTCCATCAATGTGTATAACTTTAAGATGAAATAATCACCTTGAACTGAAGAGTGTTTGCTGCAACCGTGATTCAAACCTGTCCATCACTCAGTGGTCCTCTGCAACTCTCTTGATTCAAACGATTAGGTTAAAAAGTATATTAACATTTAAAAATTTCTCAACGGAATTTGATTTATAACAAAAACAAAGTAGAAATAGACAAGTAGAGGTAGAAGAGTAATTTTTAATTTGCTTTTAAAAAAATCTGATGTATTAATGTATTTTATTGACTTTCATAGAAAGAATTCAAATTTATTTAAATTGCAATTATATCTACTGCCCTTGTTAGGAAGCTTTCAAATGGAAGAACTGATATAAGGAGTCATAGCCTGTGGCCCATACACTTTTGCCTGTGTCCCAGTTCTTCAAACTTTGCTTGGAATACTGCTAGCCCCTTTTCATCCAGTGTATTTAATTCTCATTACTTACATCCAGCCCAGGTACCAGGTCCTTTAAAAAAATTATACGTAATTTTCCACAGTTTGAGTCTTTTGTGTTGACATGGTTTGATGTATCAAAGATAAATTGCACCAGACATTTGTTAAAAATGGCAACGAAGGCTTTATTCAAGACTCTTGTAATAGGGGAGACAGATTGAACTCTGTTGAAGCAAAAGGCGGGAGAATTGTTACATGCTGCTGTAAGCTAGTGAAAAAGTGCTGGAAGACGTTATGGGAGCGTTGGCTAGTATGATTAAGTCACCTGTTAATTGGTACTTACTAAAGTTAGGCTCCTCCCTCCCCACAGAGACTAGGAGATAGGCCTGCCTGCTCGCCTACCTTTCTTTTTTCCTTCCATCCTTCCTTCCTTCATTGAAATCTTTTTTAAATTTTAAAATTTAAATTTTATTTTGTAAGATTGTAAAACTAGTTAGAGGCTGGGAGAAGATTTACCTATATTCCAGAGGGACAGAGAAATAATTTGCTGTTTCAGGTTTTCTAAAGTAAATGCTCTGACAAGAGGGAGGTCAGGGTCCTGTAGTCTAGAAGTCTAAAATTGAGTCAAACTGAGAGAAATGGCAAGCCTGTCTTGGTCACAAGAATATATCTGTCATAAAACATAGCACTTGTATTTCAGTTTTAGTCTTCTTGGCGCGCTGTCTTATACAGAGAAAGTATAAGCTCCTTTAAGGCAAGCTCTGAGCTTAATTGATCTTTCTTTCCAAAGTATCCTGGAAAGTATTTGCCAGTTAGTTT